GGAGGCTTTAAGTCCAAGTGCAAAGTGCCAGGCTCTAGGGGCTGGGTGAAAGCCCATCAACCTTGGGGTCCAGCTCCGCCTCCTGCACCTGGCCCACTGAAGCTAGAGGCTTTTCTTCACTCAGACAGCTGATGGCTGCTGAGGCTGACAAGCCCAAGGTTGACAAGTAAAATGGCACAGCCCTGATGTTAGCAAACCACAAAGCAGGCCATTAATTCAAATCCATTTAAGTCCCAAGGTCGGTAGAGCATGGCAGGCTGCTGAACAACTACACAGCTCCATGCAGGGTCTAAGTGTGCCATAAGCTGGAGACCATTCCCAAAGTTGCTGCTTATATATGGGAAGCAGACCACATACCCAAAGGCTGCTCAGAGTAGATTCCACCATGGAGTCGATTACCAGTCTCATCCTGGGCAATACTACATCCGGCTGCCCAGCCACTCAACCAGGCCCAGCCAAGTTGACACACAAACATAACCATCACAGTAGGTATGATGATGATATTGTAGATTATGCTTTTTGTGACCTTATCTGTTAGACTGTTAGAGAAACACACAAAAATATTGAAGGGTGAAATGATATCTTGGATTTGTTTCAAAATGTCCCATAAAAATTTATAAAGGGTACATGAAGCAAGATGATTTTCTGAATCTAGGAAATGGGGCTATGAGGGTTCATTATACTATTCTCTTTTGAGTATGCTAAAAATTTAATTGTGCACATTCAAGTGAGCAGTTGCAAACACCCTGTATGGCAGCATAATTACCCATGTCTCAAGAACAAATAAATCAGAATTATAATAATAATTTCAGTTATTGCTGAGATATAATTTCTGCTGCCTACTCGTATTACTCATTAACAACCTGTGATATGCAGATGACACAACCTTGCTTGCTGAAAGTGAAGATGACTTGAAGCAGTTACTGATGATTAGACCACAGTATGCAGTATGGAATACACCTCAACATAAAGAAAACTAAAATCCTCACAACTCGACCAATAAGCAACATCACGATAAATGGAGAAAAGACTGAAGTTGTCAAGGATTTCATATTACTTGGATCCACAATCAACACCAATGGAAGCCGCAGTCAAGACATCAGACATCGTATGGCACTGAGCAAATCTGCTGCAAAAGACCTCTTTCAAGTGCTATAGAACAAACATGTCTCTTTGAAGACTAAAGTGCAACTAACCCAAGCCATGGTGTTTTCTATCGCCTCATATGCATGTGAAAGCTGGACAATGAATAAGAGAAGGCCAAAGAAGAGTTGACGCTTTTGAGTTGTGGTGTTGGCGAAGAATAATGAAAGCACCATGGGCTGCCAGAAGAACGAACAAACCTGTCCTGGAAGAAGTGTTGTTAGAAGGGACCAGTCCCTGGAGAAGGATATTATGCTTGGTAAAGGGTCAGTGAAAAAGGGAAGACCCTCATAAAGATGCATTGGCACCATGGCTTTGATGATGGGCTCAAGCATAGCAAATACTGTGAGAATGGTGCAGGAGTGCGCAGAGTTTCATTCTGTCATACATAGGGTCACTGTTAAGTTAGAGCCGACCCAAAGGTACCTAACGACAGCACAGTTCCTGTGTGTTATTTCAGCATTTCCACCTATTTTAATAGTTTTCATCTAAGCGGTGCTTTTATCTTTAGTCATACTTATCTACATCTATTATTTCTTCCTCCTTCTCTTTTGCTCTGCCTTCTACCACTATCATGAATTCCTTCCTATGCTGCAGAGCCCCTGCCAACACCTGGGTTTTATTGCAGAATCTGCCTCCAAGTAACCAGATGCCTTATGATTTCCTTCTCTGTAGCTCAAAGCACAATCTGCTCTCTCCTGATACACAAAGGACATCACATAACACATACACACATCCAGAAATGTGCATTTCAGATCCCCGAGGCTCCTTAGCCTGCAGCTCGTGGCTGCTGCTCAGGAACTGCCTTGGCAGGACGCCCTCAGCCATCAGAGAGCCCTTCCTCCTCCCTAGACCATATGCTTGGCCTATTGGTGAGGTTCAATTTCATGCACTCCTATGTCCTGCACTTCCACCCCAAAAGGGTTACTCAACGATCTACTCCCAGCCCAGATTTCCTTCCTAGGTCTTACTTGTTGAGAGAGATTGTCAGATTCTGGCCTCCAAACACCATAAAAGTATCAAATGGCACCACTTAGAAGTCAAGCAACATACCTTGTATGTCAAGCCATATCTCCTTTGCAACGTTACCTCTAACTCCTCACAGCACATCTGGGCCACTGATCAATTCTGAATGACTGATTCTTGGTCTCTCTGGGTCCTGGACCTCGTTTTTAGTTTTTGCCCACCTCTTCCCATCCCAGCCCAGTTCAAGGCCTTTCTAGTCAGGAAGAATGCACTCTCTGATCCCAAATTTACTGTCATGTCTTCTAACGTTCTTTGTATACCTTCAGAAGGGAGTGGGGTTTGGATGGAGCAATTCCCCGAAGAGCCCCAGGTTTCGCTCCCACCTAGGCTTTATTCTCCTTTGCTAAGTCATAGCCACCTGACCCCATTCTCCAGAAACAACTCTCCTAGCTTCTAGGATTGACTCTGCCCTGGACTTTGCTCACCAGGTAAACTGGCCTTCTTTCAGGCTTCACCTCAGACCCCAAAGAGTAAATGGGGTCTTACTATGCTCTCATTTCCACTCTCCCTAGCCTGCTCCACTCCTGTTCAATCCTGACATTCTCCTACTAAAGCTAAGTTCATAGCCAGAGCCTTGCCTCATGAGCCCTGCCTGGTTCCCAGGCTGGGGAGTGCCATTCCCTATTTCCCGAGTGCTCCCCATGTCGCAGGCACAGTGCTAAATGCCTCGGGGCCATGATATCATTTAGTCCACATTGGTGGAGTGACCATATAATGCTTGGGCTACAAGTAAAAGAACTCCTTGTCAAAAGGCCTTAATAAGGAAATGTGTTAACTAAATTAATTAGAGCTCCTCTTGACTCCAAGCATGGTATATAGCAAGGTACAGTGAGGATATTTGGGCAGATATACATGAGGGTGAGGACCTCGAGCCCCTTAAATCCTCCAGAACCTTCCTGGCTGGTACAGGTATCTCCCACAACTCCCTGCTTCCGATCTTGTCTACGTTAAGCTTTTCAATGACTTCACCTGGGCAATTGCCCCACAAAGGCATACGGATTCTCCTCAGGACCCATGCATACCACCAGTTTCGGATTATACAGTAAGCAAGGTAAGCACAGGCTTACTCGTGCTTACTTATCTGTAGTGAACAATTTCACATTTTTTCACATCAAAGATTTCGCTTCTAGGCTGGCATCTGTTTCTCTACCACCCTGACAGCACCTTCCTAGAGAATCAAAGTCTCTTTTTCAATTTACAATCCCTGATAGGGACAAAGTACCAAGTAAGCAACAAAAGCGCAGACTTACTCAGCTGGAGTGAACAATTTCACATGGGCTCCCACGTGAAATTGTTCACTCCAGATTAGCAAACCAGCGCTTGTTTTGCTTGTTGAATTTCTGTCTGCCCAGCCCACTGCGTCCAAACCCTCCGCACTAGAAATCTCACACAGCCCAGGCAGCAGTACCAAGCCTGGCCAGGAGACAGCCAAGCTGCTTGCCAATTTGTATAGGCAGGAACCCAGAGAACATGTATGGGAGGGGATATGAAGGGTGTCTGACCCATTAAGATGAGGCAGTAATAAATTGAGGGCAAGAATTTGCCTGGCTGGGGTGCTAAGGAACTCAAAGGCCCACGAAGAGGGCAACATAGTGTATGTATCCAGCTTCCTGCCTCTTGCCTCAGTCTAATGATCCAATGCCTCCAGCTTAGGATTAAGTGCTCCTGTTCAGCCACCCCCTACCACTGCCACCCTGAAATGCCCAGAGGCCACCTTTCAACAAGGCTTTAAGAAATGCCCTAAGGAGGGGAACACCAGAATCCCTGTCAAGCCCTGTGGTGCCTGACCCTCAGTCTGGAGATGACGGTGCAGAGTAATTTTGATGGAACTGGGGCCCTTCATCTCAACGGGAATAACGAGAGCCAGAGTGGAAGTGGTAGCACTTAACCATTAAAAGACAATATTTTTTTTTAGTAGTGCTTGATATTTATTTAAAATTATGCAAATGCTTTTTTTCCAGGGAGTGCTGGGCTGGGAGTACCTGTTTTTGTTTACTTGCTTATCTGTTTGGGTATTCATTTTTTTTTTTTTTTGTCCACATGCACACATCTGCAGAATTGCTGCAATTCTGAAAAAAACGACAGCTGTGCAACCACTGATGCAGAAAAGAAACGTCCCAATTTGGTTGCCAGGCAGGCCAGCCCTGCATCCATGTGGTGGGACAGAGGAGGCTGCTGGAACAGAGAGGAAAAGCAACCAGGCTGAAAGGCCGGCCCTTGCAGCGGTTGGTGAGTTGTCCAAATCAATGTCCAAAGAGCTGCAGCCAACTCAAGCATCTTCCAGGCTGGTCCTTAGCTTCAAAGGCTGTGGTCCGTCAGCTGGAAGTGGTGGGTGATGGTGGGTGGGCATCTTAGGTCTCTGAACAGATGCAGGCCTGGCAGGCGGGTGGGTGCCAGCAAGCGGGGCTGTGGGTGGTCTGTCCAACTGTCACTTGGGCCTGGCCTACAAATGGAGTTCAGGCGCCAGTGCAAAATCTCCAAAATCGCAGTGAGAGGTCCTGGGGCTGGCCAGAATTGGCGGTGGTGCCCTTCCGAGTGAGGTCCCCGCCCCAGCAGCAGGTAACTCAGCACTACTCCTGGAACAAAGACAAGCACTACG